ATCAATTCTTTTCAAAGAGTCAGAGTAATATATTATAATCTGAAGAAAAGATGTCAGAATGCAAAACGTACAAAAGTGGCAGTTCCTTTGCCTTAAGGAAAAGAAAAAAGACTGGTGGAGTCTGGCATTATGTTCTTAAGATTGGGAAGAAATAGGATCTTGAGTTTTTTATGTAATTCTGGATGCCTCAATGTCTTTCCTTCCTCACCAGTCAATACCCAGACCCTTGCCCAAATGATACACTCAATATTAAATATACATTTGGATTTTTCTGGTCCTTGAGTAGTGGTTTTTTACATTTTAAGGAGTATGGACATCTCCAGTAGTACTTTATAGTCTATGAATAGATAGATTAATGTTTGATTTTACAAAGTTATCACTCATTGTTCTCTCTGTAGATATACCTGTGTTTCCCACGATCACAGCCACTGTGACTTTTCAGGAGTTTCGCTATGATGAGTTTGATGGCTCCATCTTTACTATACCTGATGACTATAAGGAAGACCCAAGCCGTTTTCCTGATCTTTAACTGACATGGAAAATGATACCATCTAACCAAGAAAGGAGAATGCAGAGACCCCAGAAGTGAATCCAAATAGAAGGGACAAATGCTTTCAGCGAAGAAAAGGGAATTACACATTGAATCGACACATCAGTAATATGATATAATGAAATGGGCCTCTAATAAGAATTTCAGCAAGTTTCCTGATGTGCCATTTTAAGTCTTTTAGAAAATATACATATTATAAACATAATAGTTTGACACGTTAATGACCCTAAGACCTTCGTATGTAAAGCAGCTATGAGTGCTGTGATTTGTTTTTAAAAATTTTTACACTTCTTGTTGAAATATATATGCATATAAATATATCTATATCTATATCTATATCTAAAACACTCCTGGACCATTAACATAAATTAAATGTCTTAAGAGATATGAAGCCCTTTTAAACTTGTCATCTTATATTCAAGGTGACATTTATAAATATTCCTTAAAGCTTTGTTTTCATAAAATGTAAACTATGTAACATTATGTATATATAGTTCAGTAATTTGAATGTTTGTTCAGTATAATGAACTAGAAGGAATGCAATTTTCTGTAGATGAATGAACCAAATGGTAACCATTAAACAATTGCATTTATATGTTGCAATACATTTCAGAAGGAGCGTTCACTCTGCAGGGAATAAGGTACCTCCTTTAGCACCTTAGTGCAATTCATTGTGGTGCTATTTGTTTTTACTTGAATTCTTTCTTCAATGGAAAATGTTTGTTACTAATCTTCTTTTCATAGAACCTCTATTTTTTTTCTAAACTTGAGTTTAATAGTTCTTGTTATGTTCATGATAAGATATGGTTAGCATGCTTAAAGATATTCCTCTTCCAAATCTCAGCACTTTAAAAAATTCCAAATTTTTAAACTTGCTTCCTAATAATTTTAGTGCACATCAGTCTGATCATTTTGTTTGTTTTTAGTGGAGTATGGATGCATTGGTGTCAATTTTAAAAAACAATTCACATGTTTTGGACAACCCTACGTATTTAATGCTTTCAAAATAAGGTAAAAACATTTTATATGCTAACAGAATATATTTGTTACAAGTTAAAGTCCTGAAGTATACACAAGATTGACAATTCCTATTGTTTATTTTTTTTAGTCACTGGAAAATATTTATTGATTTTAATTGTCTCCAAAATGTTAAAATCATGCAGTACTCATTTTTGCACTTAAAATTTTTCATATTTATTCCAAGATGGTTTGAAGGTCCAAGAATGAAAATAAATTAGGGAGAATAATGTATAAGAGTTATAAAGTGTCATGTTGTATTAAAGAACTTATTAGCTAAATGTTTTTTAAATGTATCCTGATAAATGTGTTGAGTGCATCTATCAAGTTTTTTTAAAGTGACCAGTAGATTAAACTTTTTCCAGGATTTTAGATAATTTGAAATAAGTTTAGAGACCCTTATTGAAGAGGTGATTTATTTAAAAATCCAAAGCATCAACCATAAGAAAAATTTTATAATAAACATCTTTAAAGCCACATATACTATAATGATATATACATTGCATATGTTGACATTTTATTAAATACATTTTATAATGAAGAAAAATAATTATAGTTAAAGACCTAATTACTACCTTATGTGGGTAATGAATTTTGGGGAAATAATTGGTATATCCAGACTAGCCTTGTTGAATAGAAGTTGATCTCTATTATTTAGGGAATGGTTGTTGATCAAGTGAGTTAGAGACTGAATTATCCAGTCAATGGTTATATGAAGTTTGAGACACTGAAAGGCGGTGATCACTGTTGTTTTTAGGCTCCCTTACTTTGTAGGACTATGGTATACTTTCAGAAATATACTGCAGATTTTTTCATAAGTGCAGACACTTTAGAGAGGAAGAAACCTGGAAAACTGTAGCTTGGGATTTTTCAGTTTCCTAACAGCTATGAATATTTTGCTGGGGTACACTGGAGGTAGGAAGACTACTGAAAATTTTTGCACTTGGATTTTGTTTTTAAGACTTATTTTCTTTAAAGGATAGTAGAAACAAGTTATCCATTCCAGTGTCTTTTCTCTGATCACAAAGAACAAACAAATGTCAGTATCTCTTATGATGGTGGAAAACAAGGAATTAATGCAAATAAACTTTTCACAATATTAGATTTTTCAAAATGTGCCTTTTAATGCAATTAATGAATGAAGCTTTATGCAGTGTCTCAAATGAATAGGTCATAACACTAGGTATTTTGATAATCTCACATGAAAATCAAGATTTTATAATGTAGATACATAAAATTTTATACACCTTCCATTTGTGATTTTAGAAACTGTTTAAATTAGGGACAACCATGGGATAGTCATCTTAACTGCCACCAGGTATCTAAAGAAGATATGGTTCCTGGCCTCAAGAAAATAGTTCTTTGATGAGATAGTTTGCTCTCTGTAGATGTTCATATACGGAGAATTGTCAGACTTCATAAAAGGGAAGTATAAAGCAGATGCCCTGATTACTGTGAGTGTAAGTTCCTATGATGGTTTGGGAATTGACACTTCTGTCAGCTGATAATTGAAGTAGCTGAAAAGCTATTTAATTTCCTTCTCCTGCTCATAACTGGAATTAAGCCCCCCTCACACTAATAAAAATGGGTTTTTATAGTGTTATACACATGCAGTTGTTTATTCACACCTTGGGGAGGGTGGTGAATAATGATTGCCTAATGAGCTCTCTTCCTAATTTTCAATAAGTCTATAGCAGACAAAGATCCTGTTTTAAGGCCATGAAAAGGCTGGAGTAAATATTTTATTAATAAGTGAATACAGTTGGCCCTTGAATAATGCAGAGGTTGGGGGAACAAAGATCCTTGTATAAGTGGACCCGTGCAGTTCAAACCCATGTTGTTCAAGAGTTAACTACTGAATTAAGGAGTGCTTCCTTTTGCTCATTTACATTACTTATATTTCCAGTGTGCTAGGGAAAAAGTTGGAGTAAAAAACTGTAGGTGAATTTGAAGCCCTGTTTGTACTATGCTAACCTTTAAAATTGAGTGAAAGAATTATTGATGTCAAATTAGTATGGGATATGATATGCCTCTGCTGTTAACTCCAGCAAAAGGTATCTTAATCGTGTTTTCTAAAATTAACAAAATGCATCCTTACCAAAGTTGCTATATTTGGAAACTGGAAACTTTCAAAGACAACTGACAGTGAAACTTGCCCCAGAGCAAAATGGACAGGAGGTATTAAATCGCTTAAAAGACAGCAAAACTAAGCTTAGTAAAAGCCTGTGATTTGTTTATATGCTATAAATTAGCAAAAACTACTTTTGGAAAGCATTTTATGTCTGAAATCTGGGGCAATAGTATCTTTGGTTGCCGTCTAAAAATTTCATAACAAATGTTACCAAGTTTTTTCCATCATGGAATCATGCTTACAGGACTGCCTTATGATGTGCTATTTAATCATTAGAGCTCATTTTAGAATAGTAGTACTTTTAGCCGTATAGAATTACAATTTTACTTTTGCCACACACCTAAAAATATTGAAGCAAAATCTCCTACCTAAATAAATAAATAAATAAAACCCACCACTTATAGTAGAGTTCTTGGTCACTAAAGAAGGCTGACAGTGACTGGCTGGGATGTTTCCAATACAGTCATGCCACTCAAATGATGGAGATACGTTCTGAGAAATGTGTCATTAGATGATTTTGTCATGTGAACATCACAGAGTGTATTTACACGAACCTAGGTGGTATAAGGTATGGCCTATTGGTCCTAGGCTACAAACCAGTACAGCATGTTACTGTACTGAATACTGTAGGCAATTGTAACACAATGGGAAGTATTCATGTATCTAAATATAGAAAAGAGACAGTAAAAATATGATATAAAAGATTTTTATTATTTATTTATTTATTTTTTGACACAGGGTCTTACTCTGTTGCCTAGGCTAGAGCGCAGTGATGTCATCATGGCTCACTGCAGCCTCAAACTCCTGGGCTCAAGCGATCCTTCTGCCTCAGCCTCCCGAGTAGCTGGGACTGTAGGTACACGCTACCATGCCTGGCTAATTTTTCTATGTTTTTTTGGTAGAGACACGGTTTTGCTCTTGCTCAGGGTGGTCTACAACTCCTGACCTCAAGTGATCCTCCAGCCTCAGCCTCCCAGAGTGCTAGGATTACATAAAAGATTTTTCAAAGGGACTCTTGTATAGGGCACTTATGGTTAATGGAGCTTGTAGGACTGGAAGTTGCTCTAGATCAGTGGTCCCCAACCTTTTTGGCACCAGGGGACTGGGAGGTGGGGAAATGGTTTCGGGACGATTGAAGCACGTTACATTTATTGTGCAGGCAGATCTCTCTGCTAATGGTAATCTGTATTTGCAGCTGCTCCGCAGTGCTAGCATCTCCACCTCAGCTCCACCTCAGATCATCAGGCATTAGAGCATGCAACTTAGACCCCTCGCATACGCGGTTTACAATAGGGTTCGAGTTCCCACGAGAATCTTAACAGGATCTGACAGGAGGCAGAGTTTATGCGGTTTATATGAGTGATGGGGAGCGGCTATATATATACAGATGAAGCTTCTCTCGCTTGCCCACAACTGACCTGCTGTGCGGCCTGGTTCCTAACAGGCCATGAACCAGGTTGGGGACCACAGTTCTAGATGAGTCAAGCGAATGAGCGGTGTGTGAATGTGAAGGTCTAGGACGTTACTGTACACTACTGTAGATTTTATAAACACTGTACGCTTAGGCTACACTAAATTTTTAGAAAAAAATTTCCTTACTTCAATAATAAATTAACCTCAGCTTACTGTAACTTTTTACTTCATAAACTTTTAGTTGGCCATGGTGGCTCACGCCTGTAATCCCAGCACTTTGGGAGGCCAAGATGGAAGGATCGCTTGAGGCCAGGAGTTCAAGACCTGCCTGAGCAAAATAGTGAGACCCCATCTCTACCAAAAAAAAAAAAAAA